CAACACTCATAATATTTGTTGCATGACCATCATTCATAATTTCCATAACATAAGATCTATAATCAGAATATGTTGTATATTTGGGAAATAATTTTCTAAAACAAAATTGTAAATGAAAGATAAATACTTGTTTAAATAAAATTTCGTACTTAAAATCCTCAGCACTTTTTATATTTTCATCTTTATTAAAATTAACTTTTTGACGTTGATAAAGTAAAAATTTTGTATTCTTATTTTGTTTTAATATATTAAATAATGTTTTATGATTTGTTTTATATTTAATTGAATATTTTCCATCATAATTAAAATGAATACCTTTATATTGAATTAACAAATATTGAAATATCAACAGACATTTATTTAAAAACCACGACCACCACATTTCTATGAATACCCAATGTTTGTTGTATTTTATTTTCTAGAAGATACTGAAAATGAATTTGTTTTTTTATTAATATTGATTAGGGATTAGAAAAAGGAAATCTTAGTTGTGCATGCAAACACTTACCAAATATACTCTTGACGACACCGTACTGCATGCAGCTTGTGTATGAATAATGCATGAGCAGTATAGACATATATGATCTTAGCTTTCTAGAAACGAAAAAGGTCAATAAGGACACTTATGTCAATAAAGAACAATAATCATCGATCTACATGGTTTTATTTAATTTTATTATTCGTCATGAAAGGACCAAAGTCACTAAGAACAGAGTTCTTTTTTCAACATTTTTGAATAGTAAATGTCATAAAAATATATCGACTATGGATACATTTAGTCGTTTTTAAGCACTTATACTTCCTTCTGTATCGCTTGAAACCTTGCATATCTGTCATTTTGGACTAAAAAATATCAAATAGAGTAGTGTTGACCTTACTGATTAAGACTATGACCTTAGTTTGTTTGAGCAGTTTTCGTAAGTCAACAGAATAAGTTTTCCAGAAATTAGATTCTAAGTGAAAAACGAAGTCTTTTTTCTTATTTTTAGCATCTACTATCTATAAATAACTTTGCGAACATTTGAGAATCGGGTTTAAGTGGATATTCAAATATTCTATGGTTAGGAAAACTTGGAATTTTTACAATTCAATGAAAGAATATTCCAATTTTGGCTACAACATATATGTATCAAGAATACTACTGGAACAGTAACGAAAAATGAGAAAGAGAAAATCACATGGAAACAACTGTTAGGCTGTTATATTGCACTCTTTAACCTCTATCTACACATTGATGCAAAAATGACGATATTTCAATCTATGAAACATCAGAGAAAAACTAGTTTATTGTCGTAAACTTTAGTATGATAATGTGACTCACTGACTGTAGCGTTCAATAAAAAATGTACAATTAACTATAATAAATATTATTTGAACAAATTAAAGTATTGTACTGTAGCAAAAGTAATCTTTGTTTTTAATATATAGCACAAAGTTTGAAAATTTCGCTGTTAAACAACTTCTTACATGTACTACGTAAAAGATTAAAGAAAAGAAGCTTTTACTTGTATTTGCTAGTTTCTTGTCAATAAATAAAATATATAATTTACCATATGACCCTACTAAATTACTAAAAATAACGAAAAATCAAGAAAATGTAATTTCATTTGCTTCTGTTCTTCTATGTATTTCATTTTATTAACATGTCATGTCATGTCATTTCGGATAATGAAGACTTTCAATTAGCAAAAAGTAGTATTGATCTAATCAAAACCAAATTTATTACACTACAATTTAAAAGACAAATAAAAATATGTCCGCATTATCATAGATATATACTTGAGACGAAATAATCTAAGCTAACGAATGTAACTTTACATAAATCTTCATCGCCATTGTTTGCAAAAGAGGATAAAAGAAATTTAGTTTTTCTTTTTCTTTTAATAAGTTTACAAATTAATAAAATGCCATTTTTATATTTGATATTTTCATCATTATAATATGATATGATTCAAATCGTAAAGCAAAAAAAAGTACATTCGACCGAGAAATAGATAGTGTCTGTTACTGAAAAGAGGAATAATCTGACATAAATATGAACAAGATTAAGTAGGAAAAACATAGATAGCATTGCCAAGATGAAACTTGAAAAAGACTCGCACAATAAAGCTCCCTGATTCTTATCCGTTAAAGCATGCATAAATCTTTCTTGCATGAAGAAGTAGAGCGCATGTTAAATGAACGGACAAAAATTTCAGTTCATTGATTTCATGTGAAGAGACTCGTCCGGTTCATTTCGAGATCTAGTCAGTAGTTGAAGTGAAAATTATTCTATTTCAAAGCTTTATTTTAAACTAAGTATTTTCTTGAGCTTGACGAAGTACATTCGACAATATCGATTTCATATTCGGAATGGCCATACTTAAATAGATATAGTTGCACAATTTTCCTGAAGCACAAACATGTTTAGTATGCATTGTTTGAAACAATATGAATCTGTATTGCTAAAACGATCGAGAGAAAAAAAACGGAAAGTAACCGATTTTCTTGAGGCATTTCGAGTGGTAATGTATGCCATTCGAAGGTGTCACACAAAAGAAAGGAAACTATGATGATTGCTTTTCATCAACGAAGGAACTTCATTCATTCACTTTCTCGCAATACATCGATCAATTCACAAGCAAATCAATAACGTGTGAATAACACTGCAAAAATATTCTTGTTTAAAGCATGGCTGAATCGCTTCAGATCAATAATCTTAATCCTCGTCTAATTCATAATACTTGTGATCGACCAGATATCACTCTGCAGTCGATTAGTGGCTATGAAAAATTGGAATCAACTCCACTGGAAACAGCTGTGGAACCGATTCAATCGCTCTTTCGTGATTTATCTCACGACGTTTCCATTGCGAAAGATGCCACGAAAAGACCGACCGACGGTCTCACACCAGATGAATCTGCTGCGATTTATCTCTATACATTGGATATTAATCCACGTAGTTTATATTTAGTTCTAAACGAAATATTATTCCATCGTGATCGTCAAAAATTGAAACCTTGGTTTCCCTATCTCAAATTGTTTTTTAATGGTCTCTTCAAAATTCCATCTTATACGATGAAAATCATATGGCATGGTGTCAAGGCCGATTTACATGCAAAATATGAGACTGGTAAACGCTATATCTGGTGGGCAATCACATCGTGTGCTCAATCGATCGATGTACTTCGACATCCTGCTTATTTGGGCGAAACTGGTGTGAGAACTGTCTTCTCCATTGAATGTCTCAATGCACGACCGATCAAAGCCCATTCATGTTATCAACGAGATGAAGAGATCTTACTTTTACCAGGAACGTATTTTGAAGTTATCAGTAATGTCAATACAGGTCATGGCTTACACGTTATTCGTTTACGAGAACTTCCATCACCTTATGTTCTATTAGAACCACCATTCTCAACTCAGAGTACTGAAGCAGAAATGTCGAGCATTGATCAAATTCTCGAAAAAATTTACTTAATGAATAAGGATAATGCAGATATGCCGAAATTATTGATAATCCTACCCGACCCAACTTGTCGATGGGAACCAGAAGATGTCTGGAAGAATAGCTTTCTTCTTCATCTCGTCTGCGAATGCTCGGTCAATCATCTTCATTTTGCTCAACATCTCGGTTATTCACTGCCAAATGCTCAAGTTTTCTTTCAAATCTATGGATTGTATTTAAAACAGTACATGATTCCATTAGCTCAATATCTCTTTCAGCTGAAAATGGTCAATACAGTGCAAGATGCTCGTTTCTGGTCGACATTTCAAACTAATCTAAATAAGATGACGGATATTCTCAATCGAATCGAGCCGAATCCGATTACAGCGGAAGAAACGTCAAAATTGAAAGATCTCATCGTACCTGAATGGACGACGATTAGCAATTTTTATCGATCGATCACGAACCAAATGACTATTCGATGGGTATGTAAGCGTCATTATCCAGTCGATCAATCGCAATTGATTCGTCGTTTACGAGATATCGAAGGCATATCATTTGATGAACAGGAAAGTGAAATGACCATCAGTGGACGATTAGATCCAAAGCAAATGTCACGCCTAACAGCAACTCTGCAACGTGGTTTGCGTATTTATATGCTAAACTATGTCTATTATTCGCCACCGCTCGATCAATTGAATAAGGCTTTCTATCGAGCCTCAATTGTTACTGTGTGTCATCACGGCTTTCTCTCTGAAAATAATGACAAGTCCAATATGGAACGAATCCAAAGATTGTGCAATCAAGTCATCTCTTCTAATGCTTTCGTACGACAGGCTAAAGTCACTGATGGAGGTGGTTGGTCACGAAAACGAGCTGGTATCCGAGATGCATTGAAATCCAATACCACACTACGTTCATTTACCTTTAGCGGTGCCATGACCAATCAAGGTATCACAGAGATCATGGCAACATTGAAATCGAATATGGTCTTAACGACATTACGATTCAAAGATCGACCATTACCACCGCAAGGTGCTGAGACTTTTGCCGAATTGATACGATCCAGTGGTACATTGATTTCTTTAACGCTGTCAAATACGATGCTCAAAGATGAAGGACTTCATGTGATTATTGATGCGATCTGTGCTAATCCCATCATGCAAACATTAGAATTATCATTCAATCGTCTACATGATAAGAGTAGTTCGTATATTGGTTATTTGTTGAAAGTCTGTACTAGTTTACGAAGTCTTGACATTAGTTACAACGAGTACAGTGCTATTGGAGCAAGACGAATATTCGACAAATTGAAATCCAATCGAACACTCTTACATTTCAATATAGGTCTGAATAATTTAGCCGTAAGAACTGGAAAGCAAACAATGACATCTAAAGTACCACCTGTTAATGGTGGTGAATTGATTGGAGCAATGTTAGCAGATAATAACACTCTGATCACTTTGGATATTGCTCATGTAAACATATCGGAATTTGGTGTACAAGGATTGGCTGAAGGTCTATTGAAAAATCGAACATTGACGCATCTAAATTTAACATCGAATAAAATTTTCGATGTTCAACGACGAGTGATCTTGGATGTGATGCATCACAATGATACGTTGCTGAGTCTTGATCTGTCGCATAACGATATGGACGATGGTAGTGTCATACAACTGGGTGAAATGCTTCGAGCCAATAAGAAATTACGCTATTTCAGAGCAAAATCTTGCGTCATCGAGGATAGCCGAATGTATAGTCTTGCTCGAGCCTTGCAAGATCAACTGACATTGACACATCTCGATCTTTCGAAGAATAAGATTGGTGATGATGGAGCGACCATGATTGCTGATATTCTCTCAAAGAATAACACATTGATCTATCTAAATATTTCTGAGAATCGCATTACCGATCCAGGAGTTCAAGCAATTGCCAATTCTTTAGAAAATAATATTACCTTACTCCATCTGGATATCCTCGTGCAACAAGACAACATCACAGTCTTTGCCATGGTTACCTTTCGATCTATTCGACCAGACTTGATTGTCAGATAAACCATATTCAGTCCTTTTTTTTCTTTGTAAATTCATTTCTTTTGGATCAGAGAACCACTTTTCCCTATACAAACCAACACAAGATTGCATCGTAAAAAAATGATCTCACCAAGTTTTTGTCAAAACTTTTGTCTATTTTTTTTCTTGGTAAAGCATCTTGTTCACAAGTGAATGAATCGGATTAAAATACTGATCTTTGAAACGAGAGCATTTGATCTATATTGCCTAGCTTGAAATTCTAGTTCACTCAAATGCTTTGCATTTACTTAGGTTTTTATATTACTTTGAATTGTAAAGAAGTTCTATCGATTTATCATAGTTTTGCAACACAATTAGAAGATAATGTTTTGTTAACGGAACAATGCTGTGAAGTGATGTTCAATACTGTACGATGCAGAAGTCTTTGCAAAAATTTCGAACTCTGTTCGGGTATATTGCTGACTTCTAAACCAATTAAATCTATTTGGTTAGAAAGAGCAATGTCTGAGCTACAAATTTTGTACCAGACTTGTTTTTCCTGAACGAATCTAAGAAACTGGAAAAGTCAAAATTTAAACGCCTCTAAAGAAAGCTCTTGCAACTTCGCTGTCGCAAAATATCATTTTCTATAATTTGTTAATTTTTTTTAATATCGAAAATGAAATGAACAAGCTTATTAACGCTTTCCATTTGCATCTAAAATGTGGAACTCAAGTGAACTCAAGTGTGGACGGGCAAGAGAGTTTCCAATCTAAAACCCGATCACATCCACACTCCACACTCAAAATGATCAGAAACTCATGATCTTTCGTTTTATATATGGCTCAATCAGATTGAAATTTGAAAAGCAAAAAGGGCCAAAATGCGTTATTATGCGCTTCCGTTATTTTTTCTACATAATAATCAATGAGGAAGTTAGACGTGAGATGTTTTTAAAAGATAGGCTAGGTATTGCTTAGGCTGTCAGCTGAATTTAATGAAACTTATTCTGAAGTGTATGAAAAAAGTTAGAAACCATCTTTAACCATGCAACAATAATCAAGGACCCACAAAATAGTCGAAATTCTTCTTCATATTTTTTAAAATGATTCTATCATAAGTTTTGTACATCACAGTTTTCTTTACCTTGATTTTCTATTTGCTCAAAACACTTTAAGAATCATAATTGCTGATATTTGGAATTAAAATTGCGGCGAAAGGAAAAAGATAATTCTTTTATCAGTCGTGCATGCTGTCACTCGAAAATATCCAAAAGGCGTGTCATAGGAGAAAGTTGGTCTAGGTTATCTTGAGAACGGTTGAACATATTGAGTTGCCCTTTGGTTCTTAAGAGTTTCTCGACGTGTTCATTCTTTTTGTCTCTAGAAAGTTTTCTCTAAAAGTTTTCTCTAAAATGCTCGGAAGTTCGGTTTCTAGAAAACTATGGTTTTTAAGCTACATGTGATAAAAAAAAGAGTTTTTGAAGAAACTGAAAGTTAGAAAAGACTTTTTAATATGATATTCGGATTCAGCATCGAAAGATGAACATTTAAAAAAAAAATCGAGTATTAAAAGAAAATTTTAATTTTTCAATTTAATCCCCAATCTTTAAAATTTTACCTTTTCTTTGTTTAAAATTACTCAACACAGGTAGATGATAGAAAGATGATTCGAATGTCAATCGATAGAGAATATGAAGACTGAACAAACGTAGGAGTTTGACATGTTTCGCATACCTCGTAATCAGGGTTTTCTAGAGGATCTTTAGAAAAACCTCCCTGTACTGTAACGTTTTTCTCTGCTTCTTTTTAACGTAAAACTTCATTATTGGGTTTTTTTATGTTTTTTAAAGTTAGAAATCTATTAAAATATTATAATGGAACAGTTAACATGCTTTTAACATCCATATGAACGTTTTTCGGTCCATCATGTTCATATGCTATAGAGTCGTGATGACGTTTCTCTTCTTTTTATTAGCATAGATGATGTCTTGACAATGTCTACAAACGCAGATGCTCGTCCAACATGAAGAAGAGAGAGAGAGAGAGGAGAGAGTATGCACAGCTCGTGTCTGGCATTATCACATTCATTTCTATCATATGTAAGTGTAGACATCCTTTCTTCTTTCTGCTATAATATTAATTTCTAAGTTGTATCATAAGAAAAACATGTCTGATTTAAGTTGAGTGCCGAGATTTAGCTTCGGTGATATTAAAAAATATATCAAACACAATCTTGATAAAGCTTGTGGTGGTACAGCTGATAGTCATATGAAGAATTCGACGGTGAATGAAAAATCTTATGCAGTACACTCTGAAAAGGAACACATCTTGAGAATCATCATCAAAACCGACGGTCATACAGCTGATATTGCGTCCAACGTGAAACACAGCATGGCAAAGTAAAACATTTGCTGCGTTAAAATTAGTTTTGCTGATCTGAATATGCTTGGTGAGTGTAACTTTATACTTTGTTCTGAAAGGCTTGTAAAAAGAAATCTATTTGTCATGGAGGTTTGCCAAGTGTCACCGCAAAATGTAACTGTAAATATGGGAACTCTGGCTTCTGCAGCTACGTGTGTTCCATTTTAAATACACTATGGCATTGAGAACGAGTCAAAAGCACTGGACAAATATAAAAAAGCCATGGTGTCAAAAGATTTTGAAGTTTAAATTTTTGTCTCTGTCTTCGTCACACAATCAGACTATTTTTGGCTATGGGCTACACCTGATGCCAAAGTCCGTTGTTGTGAAGGAGAAAATGTCACTTTTGGAATTGCAGAGATTAAATGTCCTTACTCCGGTCGCTTTGTTAAACCAAGCGAAGCCGTTGTTTTGAAAAACTTTTTCACAGAGAATGATGGGGGATTTCCAAAACTAAAACAAGATCATTCTTATTTTCATCAGGTTCAAACACAACTTTTTTTGACGCAATCGCCCTGCTGCGATTTTATTGTTTTTACATTCAAAGGCTTAAGTATAGACGAATTTTTCATTGTCAAAACTGGATTCTGAAAAGCATTCCTTCTTTAAAAAATTTCTATCATAAATATGCTATTCCTTTTTTTAACGATGTTTCAGAAGATACTCCTGCATTTGAGCAATCTACTTCATAAGAAGAACAAGATAATCTTTGTTTTGATGCATCTTTTTGTAATGAAGACGATGATGAAGATTTTTTAAAGTCTTTTTTCAATATACTTCTATTTTTGACTTGATTTTTGCATTTTTGTCTCTATACATAAAATTCTAAGAACCTGATTGATCTAAAAATGAAGCTATAACGAATTGCCATTGCTTTTCTTTTTCAATATCTTGATGATGAAAACCTTTATCAGCCATTATCTCGACACCTGGAAGATAATTCAATTTTGTTAAGCTAGAACANATTTGCATTGGCAACTACTGATCGATCTGGGTTGCTTGAAGAACCGCTGAATAGCTCTGAAGGGTCCACTCTCAAGTCCAATCAATGAATGTACACTTTTACTAGATCATCATGCATTTTAATATTTCTCTAAACGCTTGATTAGACTGATTTAAATTAATCAATATGCACATACATATATTAATGGTTGTCAATATAAAAACTGGAATCAATGCGTTAAATCTTATATATACAGAAGCTTCTGATAAACAGAGAGATAGGTAATGGTTATGAGATTATCATTAGAATATCATTTCTTCATTGCATATAGTTTTATTAGGGAAATTCTCCTTGAAAAACAAGTTAGATTCCTTTTCATAGCTTCCATAACTTGTTGAACACCGTGTACAAAGAAAACGGATGATAGTAAATCCCTATGTGATTAATGTTCTTGAGCATAGATTAGCTAAATTTGAATCATTTCGGCTATCAGTGAGAATTTTTGTGCAAGCTACGAAGAAACTGGAAGCAGTCATTCCCACACTAAATCAATTTAAAGAAGAATATTTATTTCTCAAGATTGAATAAGATTTTCAATTACTCTACTTGAGTAGGATCGGACGAAGTCTAGAAATATTAATATTCTGATACTCGTCTCTTTTATAGCTTCTCATAACTGAAATGGTTCAACAAGGCAAAAAAGTCTTATTCGATCACATACCGTTTGAGTATTTTATTTTGTTTTATTAGATTATTTGTGAAGAGAACCACGACACAATGCTCGCAGTTCTTGCTACTATTTCATTGTTATTTATCCACAATGCACAGAATGCCATGATGGCAAAAGCTAAGCTTCATTCAGATTCCAGTAACGTTTCTGTCGGCTAATTGGTGTTCATACAGAACGATGGTGACTCTTCAGTCATCATCAAGGGTAGATTCTGGAATATGACGCCCAACACTGTTTATGTAAGTTTGAAAAACTTAGAATAACAAAGACAAAATAAACTCAGCTTTCGATTTTGAAATATTGAAAAGTGGAACCGAAGCTAGCTTTCGTTTACAGGACTCTCACTTTACTCTCTCTCTGCTATATGATATTAGTGCTTGTACAATAATTGAAAGATCAAAATATCAATGTCTGAAATTACTCAACCTGAATAGACTATCACTGTCGATTCGATCACAGTGTCTCCTCTTTCACTTTAGAGCTTTCACGTACACAGAGATCCACTAGTAAACGGCGAACTCAACTGTACAGCGACTGGACCTCACTTCAATCCTTATGGTGAGTTTAGTCTTGATTGGTCTTGGTTGTTGACCAACATCATGAATAATTTGTCTGTCATTTTCTCTATCAGGTACGACACATGGCTCAATCACTGCAGACATTATGAGCCGACATGTTGGAAATCTTGGTAATGTAACTTCTAATAATGTCGGCAAGATCAGCATCAACATCCGAAATTCGATTATTCAATTATACAATGCGACACAATCGATAACTAATCGAACCATTGTTCTGCATTCAATGCGAGATGACGGTGGTATGGATGGTTTTCCGGGCAGTAGCACTACTGGGTATGATCTACTTTATCTGATCTTCAATCTATATAATATTTCTTTTGTAGAAATGCAGGTGCTCCAATTTCTTGTGGTAACATCGTGTTGAAAAA